TAAACGGCTGCACGGATATCGATGATATTTTCTATAGATGTAGAGGATAGTCTGGAAGAACACATTACTCACTTTTGTTTTTTTAATTCCACGCGAACGGAGTCGCGGGCGAAAGCTAGTTCTTACATATAAATTCAATTATGTATGCGCTATCATTAAGTTTTTCGATACTGCGGTACAATATGGCGTGATCGCAGCGCCCTCTGTCGCCAACAAATAGTAGTTTCGCGTGGCGCGTGTATACAGTTTGCGTTTGTTGCACTTTTTGTCATTATTATTACGACAAAATGACTGTAATAGAGGCAAAATTTTCGTCCAATGTACAATAAATTCTTTTGATTTAAACTCTTATAAATTCAATATCTACTATTTTATTTAATAGCATGTCTTCTTCTGCTTTTTAGGAAGAAAATAAAATTCTACAATACCTCATTAATCTTACTTCTTACTATTCTAATTAATATTATATCTTTTTAACATTATAAATGTTTTTATTTAATTATGATGTTTATTATAGTTTGTAGCCTCAATTGCTTAACAGATCTCGACGAGATTTGGCTTAAATGTATAGGATAGTTTGGAAAGTCACATAAATAAGGAGTTAAAGGTTAGAGTGGTATGGGCATGTTATGAGAAGGGATGAATCGCATGTAACAAGAAGGATGTTAGTTATGAATGTGGTGGTACATCGGTAGAGGTAGACCTAGAGAGATGGATGGATTGCGTGAAAGGTGACATGATCAAGAAGGGAGTGATGACTGAGATGACGGATGATAGAGTGCTTTGGAGGACGAAAGCCCGGCGCGCCGACCCTACGGGAGTAGGATAAGGCAAGGGAGATGATGATGAGTTTGGAAAGTCACATAGCCTACTTATTAAATTATTTTAATTCTACGCGAATGCAATAAGACGGAGGAAGCTAGTTATTAATATTAGTTACACAATTTTAAATGATTTGTAACTGAATGATCGCAGTAAACTTTTATATGACTCTCCATATGATTCAAATATCGCACAACTGTTTAGTCTCGCTTTAATTCCTATAAGCATATATGAAGGTGAGCACAGTAATCGATTTTTAGTTGTGTAACTAAACAGTTGCTGAAACAATCGACAATCGTACAAGATGCGATAGTGCAAAGGTGTGCGCCCGCTCTAACAGTTTATAACGCAGCCAAGTCAATACGAACGATTGTGGTTAGAGTTTTGACAGCGAACGTAAATTAGTTATGGTAAAATGAAGTTGATATTTGGTACGATGATTAAATCGCATTAGTCAACTAATTTATTACAACGCTGGGTAATTCATCAGCGGCGAACAGAAGTCTCGGAAGATTTGACGTTCACCTATATTGCCTAATCTCTAAGGTAAGTCTTACACAGCTGCAGAAGCGAGGCTTTGTTGTTATTTGTAATTTTCAGAATAAGCAAATTAAATGTTTAATGTTTTTCTTTTTATTTTATGTATAGACACATATTTTTTTTTATAACATAAGGTGGCAAACCAGCAAGCGGCCACCTGAATCCGCCAAAATGGCGAAGCGACCGCTGCCCATAGACGTCCGCAATTGCAGATGCGTTGCCTACCCTTATACGACGGAGGAGGAGACGCATAAAAAAGGATATTTCCCCTTCCTATGCATCTCCTCCACCGTCAAATCCACTTCCCCTTCCCATCCTCTCCTTATAAGAAAAGGGTGGTAAAGGGAAAGGGACTTAAATTAGGCCTCCGGCACCACACTCATCAGACGAAACACGGAACTGCTACCATTTCACGCCTGTCTTCTGTGTGGTCGTGGTATTACACCGGGCGTGCCGGCCCTGCAGTGCTAAGATGTTAAAGCGGACGCTACCACTGTGAACTTATGAATATGTATTGCTCTTCACAAATGGGGAAAGGGATTGGCTCCTGCAGCTCAGGGGAACCTAGTGCAGGAGCCAAGGTTCTCATGAAATGTATATATTTGTGTAGTGAAATAATAACGGATTCATTTATTTATTTCACTTTTTAATGCAAACTTGATATTTCAAACTCAATTAGTTCTATCTGAGCTATCATCATCATGTTGCCCTTATCCCTTACGGAGGGTCGGCACAGTATGTACTCTTCCATACATCTCTATCAGCCGTCATATCTGAATCCACTCCTTACTTAAGCATACCCTCTTTCACACAATCCATCCATACTTTCTTCGGACTTCCTCTACCTTTGTAGCCATCCACATTCAATCATAACACTTTCTGGTTTAGTTCAATCTGAGCTATGTAATTCGCTTTAGGTACAGTTTCACAATTGTGTGTTACAGGCTTTATTTAAATTTGCATATTTAGCTACTACATTTTAAAACTTTTATGTAGCCTTTATTCTATTTAGAATAAGTGTTATATTTGCTTGTTATTATTATTTTCATCTTCATCATAACTGGTTCTAGATAGCGCCAGTTACATGCAAGTTTTTGATATAGTTTTATAACGCACTCGTTTTTAATTAAGTGGATGTTAAATAGAACTGGTTAACTACGGCTTGTATTCGATTGAAGAAAAGTATTCAAAACAAGACTAAAATCGAGTGAATTTTATAAGGTAACTTGTAGGCCTTCGGAATAGTTAGACTATAAAATAAAACTGTGGAGATAAATGCATGTGTTACGAATGGATAATATACAAAATGATTAGAGGAAATCTGAAAGTAGGCATAGTGGTAGAGAAAAGAAGTAAAAGGTTGGTATGGGCATGTTGAGAAGGGAAGAACCTGTAACAAACACTTTAGTCATGACAGTGGAAGGGTACACCGGTAGAGGTAGACCTAGAAAGAGATAGATGGATTGCGTCAAAGGAGACATGATGAAGAGAGTTATGACTGATGACGGATAGATTAACCTGGAGGACGAAAATTTGTTGCGCCGTCTACAGGTGTAGAATAAGGAGGTAGAGATGGAAATGAAAAATGTGACAATGTGTACAGGGAGTTTCTGGAGTGGAAATTCAGCTTACATCAATGTAAACATATCTTTAAACACAATATTGGTGAGCTAAGGTCAACGTTCGAGATTGAAGCCTTCTGAATCATTGCATTGTTTCTAAGAGATTATTCCGTTAATCAAGAAATCTTTTGTTTTATCATTTTTATATTTAAGAGGTAAAGTTTTATTTAGAAATCGCTCGTGTTTTCTGTTTGTTTGTTAATTAGTTACGTATATGTAGTGTTAAAGTCGATATGTACGTTACCAAACGGAGGCGAGCGAAGCGTGAACTTATGATAAAAGTATTCGTTCAAACAAAATACTATTGTTTGTTTAACAAACTTTGTTCAAACTGTATGAACCATAAACCTTATGCTTCTTGATTTAGGTTAATCGCATACGTATTTTCTTTTTAACAACATTATTTTAATTACCCTCCTTCAATCATATTAATATTATAAACGCGAAACTTCAGATGGATGGATGTTTGTCAGTGCTTGTAGCCTAAACGGCTAAATGGATTTCGATGAAATTTTTTTTAGATGTTGAGGACAATCTAGAAGAACACATAGGCTACTCATTTTTGTTTTTTTAATTCCACGCAAACGGGTCTGGCGAAAGCTGGTAATATAGATAAAATACCTTAAATTATGACCACTGCATATAGACATCTGCAATTGCAAATGTATTGCCGTCGACGGAGAAGAGGCACGTAAAGAGGAGAGCTCTAAAAGTATGTTTTATCTCACTTCCTTCCAGCAGAATGAGTGGGACAACAAACGAATGCATGGTGAATTGACACAGCTCCGTTAAAATACATAGTTCTCTTGTTAACGATATTACGTTTACGTTAGATTTGGAAATAAAGTCAAATAAGACATGCATCATATAGTGAGTATTACAAAATATAATAAAGTACATAATAAGCATAATTTAGATGATATTTTGATTGTTACAGATCGATGACATTACCTATAATGTATCTCATTTTATGAAATTGGTATCAACATTACTGTAGCGAGACTATAATAAGGACAGTTGTTTACGAAATTGTACGTTTCCATTGTCTAGAGTCTAGACCAGTGTCTCAACGTGGACCCACACCCCACAGGGGGGCAATAATAAATTAAAGGAGGCAATTAATATAGATTAAACACGACTTTATTTTTTTAAAAAAGCAAATTCTTTAAAAAGACTGTAAATAATTATTGGTTGCTGTAATCTATACGTTAAAATGTATTTGACATGCTGTCATTAATAAAGTCAGAATTTATAAACTCAAGCATTAATTCCGATTTATTGTCGATTCAAGTGAATCATTTATTTGTAACATAATAAATATTGTTTAAACTCATTTTCTTTTGACACTTGTATGCGATATTTGTATCTATTATCTCGGTCTTATTTAACAAGTATGACAGGGATGGCAATATACATTAACTACGATAGTAAAGTTTCACCTGATCTATGAAAGTTGAATTAACTTTTAGGATATCTATACTATTATAATAAAGCGTAAACACACACTTCTTTGTTGCCTAAGATGTCAGCAATTACAGCAGATTTTTGAATAATGCTTTTCTTAATAGAAAGCCCTACACTTACGTCTTACTTACTTACTTACTACACTTACTTTAGGCTTTATATTTTCCCGCCATTAAACTTAGGGAGTAAATATTTTGGATAAAAATCTTAATGTGGGAAAGAGACCATAAGTTGCTGCCAACATCAAGGAAACAAGATTGTAAAGGTATATCGTGTCATGTCATTTTGACATTTGACATGTACACAATAACATAAGTTTTTAATAATTTTGTGCGGATGAAGTCGGATAGGAACAGCTAGTCTAAGATAAGATAGTTCCGTTTAACCTTTATCTCGTAACTATACATAAATCACGTATCAATCTCAATAATATTAATAATGTAACAAAAAACCGGCCACGCACCGTTGGATAATCGGTGCCTCTCGTATGCGGCCGGCCTTAATCTTTGCTATTGTTTTAAATGACAGGTGTACTGCGTCAGTCGGTGTTGAGCATGCGCGTGCGCTGGTCGTGTATCACACGAAGTATCGATAAGTGTTAAAGTGTAAATTACACTCGAGTGTCAAGTGTTTGAGTGTAGATTTGTGATCTATGTGTTTCTAACACGGATTTTGTTCTTTACACTTCTTGGAGTTTATTTTTGGTATGTTTTTTTAATTGTTAAAACGTGCGTTATCGTTAGTTATTATAGAGTAACTGTGAAGTAATTTTTTTTTTTTCGATCATTTTTATAGATAGGTCTGTTTTCGTAATTATGCGAGGTAATTCTGTCGGAGCAAGCTGTAATTGCTGCACCTAGTTACAGGTTTTATTATTTTTTATTACAATAACGTAATTAAAGACATTGTTATAATCATACTAATATTATAAATGCGAAAGTTTAGATGGATGGATGTTTGTTAGAGTTTGTAGCCTAAACGGCTGAACGGATTTCAATTAAAATTGGTATAAATGTAGAGGATAGTATGGATTAACGTATAGGCTATTTACTTTATTTTTTTTTAATTCCATGAGGACAGACTCGCGGGCGAAAGATAGTTACTAAATAATAATAGGGTTATAAGAAATATAATTTATAAGCACTACTTTACATGTTTTTTTAAACTTTCCGTTATAACTTACAACTAACTTAGATGCGTTTTCAAGTATCTAGAAATCTTATCTATAGCTTGCTTAGTTGATTTTAACTTAAGCAAAACATTCGTAGATTTCGAAAAGTAAAAACGTTGTTTATTCTTTCATTACTGAAGGTTTTTAAAAAACGTCTCTGTCCTTAGAAAGTGGATTTACTTAAGTTAAAAAAAACTTTTATTTATTAATCCTTTATGAAAAGATAAAATCATCAGCTTTCAATAAAAAAAAAGTGAGTAGCCTATGTATTCTTCCACACAATAATCTATATCTAGGCCAAATTTCATCGACATACGTTCAGCAGTTTAGGCTACAAACTGTAACAAACATCCATCCATCTAAACTTTCGCATTTATAATATTAGTAACATTTAAAATAAAGTTATTGTACATTTCATTCAATTCTTCCCCCGGCCTCGAAGACGTTCCGTTTCGTTGCGTCTTTGAGTTTTTTACCGCATTTACTTAAGCGAGTGTTCCAAGTAATTGTTAGCAATTATTCAAGCTATGTTGGAAGATTTTGATTTAGTACTTTCGTCAAGTATAAAGTAACTACAATATGTATATGCAACTAAAGTGCCATATGAAAATCAGACACTTTTCATAGCTAATTCTTCGTAAGAAAGCGTTTTTTTATTTATAAAAAAAACAAACAAGTTCTAGTTTTAAAGAAATGTTATTTTTGACTTAATTTTGAATGTTTTATATTTTCTCTTATGTGTTTGCCTTAGTTCGTTTTTAAAATATAACTTTACTAGCTCGGGCACCATTGACTAAACTATCGCACAATAGTTGTGCGGTTGTCGATTGTTTCGGGGCCTCAACTGTTTAGTTGCACAACTAAAAATCAAAGAGAGGCTTAGTTGTGCGATAGTTTATTATCATGTGTGCGCACGCTCTAACTTGTCTGTATATATGTTCTGACATATGTTTTGTTGCTAACTTGACATCCGAACGTGCTGTCACTCGCAGATGTATGTTGGCAGACATGTATGTTAATGCATGTTTTATTTATGTCTTGTTTGTGATATTAACATAATACGATTAACGACTTTTATTTATACTTTCGTTTTTATTGATTCTTATTAAAATAGGTGCAGAAATTGAGGAGCAAACGGTTAGCGTGGTATGGTCATGTTATACAACGAGACTATGGTATGGGCGTCACAGCCATGTTATGCTTTAATAAAATATAGTCTTCATTACGTCTTATGTTTTCTGCCAATTTGCACAAAATAACCTTACCAACATTGCCGTCGTGTGGTCGAGCTAATGCAACACCCTTATTTTTGACATCCGACTACTATCCGATTATTAACATAACAAGCACAATTACATTTTAAAACCATGACATAAATATTTTAAAAAACGCTTTGGATCACCATTACAAAGTTATATCGTTATTTCAAACTATGACCAATGACATTGATTTATAGCACAGACTAAGTAACCTTCAAGAGTACAGAATACATCAAAATAGTTAAAGAGCTAACAATGGGGATAAACCAGAAAGTGTTAAGATTGAATGTGGATGGCTACAAAGGTAGAGGAAGACTGAAGAAAGTATGGATGGATTGTGTGAAAGAGGATATGCTTAAGAAAGGAGTGGTTTCAGATATGACGGCTGATAAAGTTGTATGAAGGAGCACATACTGTGCTAACTCTCCGTAAGGTATAAGGTCAATTTGATGATGGTTAAAATAGAAAAGTAAAATGCCTCTATGTTATCTAAAATCATTTCAAATAAAGTGTTTTGTTATTTCGTATTCGTTCGTATTAGACTTCTTATTAAATTGTCATTTGCATATAAAGGTTTTAAGAGAGATATCTTAAATAAAACAATAAAAAGTTCAGGTAGAAATAAGATTGTAATTTTTTTTTGTCTCTAGAATACTTTATCGAAGTAAGAAAAAAAATAATTGAGTAGAAAATAATAAATTCGATTTAATACATCGAAATCTAAATCGAGTTACATTTAATATAAATATTTAAGTTCTCAATCACTAATCTTAAGGTAAGTGTGAAAAATCATTGACACTGGTATAAAAATGTAATTTAACACCCACAAAAATGTCAAAAAACCCACAAACAATATATTATTATACTTTATTTCTCAGACGGACGACCGTTTGCCCTTGCCAGTGGTAAAAAATAAAAACTGCAAATATGTGACCAAACATCGATACTTATTAAACATCGAATCGATATTATTAATGTAATGTATGGATTTAATCAAATGGATATATGATATCGTAATCGATTTGAGTTCAAATTTTTGTTAAAATTGTTGCATAATTAAAGTAAAAAACATCATTAAAAGTGTGTAACTTATATATTTTTATAACAGACTTCAAAGAGAAATTTAAACTTTATCTATGGTTTATGGTTTAAGAATATTTATTTACCTTAATATAAATTTACAATTCACTTATTTAAGGTAATTAACTAATACTAAACATAACATTTATGAAAGATTGCAAGCATACAAGAGTTTATATAAAATATCATCTAAATGTAGGTAGTTTTGTAAACTTGACTTACAAAAACAAGACTAATTATTGAGTTGCATCGAAATATGTAAACTAGATGTGGCATGGAGTACATTCATTATTCATTAAATTATTTAAGTTAAATGCTTTGGATTTTGTTTGGATATTTTTTTTAGCTATTCGTCTTTTTTTACGTAATTTTATTTCTTCTATTGTTATACATATATGTTTTAGTTAGATTTATTTTTTACTAATATTTATTATTACAAGTGATATTTGTTATTTACTTTTTAGTTGTTATTCTTTTTTTATTATTAATATTGTTGTCTTTTTATTTTATTTTACTATTTAGTGTCGCGATGTAATATAGTTATTTAAAGTTTTTTTATTTAACTGGTAATGTCTTAGTCTCTTTTTAAAACTATGTAATGACTTGGCGTTTTTAATGTCTTCAGGTAATTTATTGTAGATTTGAACTCCTTCATAATCAATTGTTTTACTGCCATAGTTTGTTCTTGGCTTTCGAGGTATTAGTTTGTTAGCATTTCGTAGCATTTCATTATCTAGTTTAATATTCTAAAAAGGAAAGATTTGTATTTAAAAACTACTTGGCAGATTTCTTGCACCATTAAAGAGCTACTTTACCAAGTAATATAGACTTTATTTTTTTACTATTTTTTTTAATTCCGGACAATGTAACAACAGCTAGTATTGAGTAAAATCAAAAAATATTTTACCTATTTCAAAGATTCATTCAACATCAAAAAGAAAGTACTCCTAGGTATATAGGCTTTAATATTATCATAATATAGAACCCATATGAATCCGGACTAAATATCTGATAGAACTATAATAGTTATAGATTTTTGTATGTAATTCGTTAATGAAAAAACAATAATTTGTTCCTCTCAATACATCGTATGCACTTTCGTAAGCGAAATTGTTTCTTACATAGATGTTAGATAAGTATCCATTGCGTCAGTAAGCAATTTACATGGAATGAGAAAATTACCTTCATTGTTGTATTGTTTCCTTGCACAAAAACATAAGTTCCTATACTGTCGATACGAACGTTTTCCGTTTGCAGAATAAACTGTAATTGATAGTAAGGGTAAAGTTATCTTCTTAATATGAGTTCATAAAGAAACTAGCTGTTCCCATGCGATTTCATCTGCATAAAATTATTTTATTGTTTACATGTGTCAAATTGTCAATTGCAAATGCCAAAATGCCAACAAGACAAAACTTGGCAATCTTGCTTCCTTGATGTTGGCAGCAACTTACGGTCTCTTTCCCACATTAGGGTTTTTATCGAGAATATTTACCGCCTAAGATTAATGGCGTTAAAATATACAGCCTAAAGCGTGACCTGAGTGTAGGGCTTTTTATTAAAAAAAGAGTTATTCAAAAATATTCTGTAACTGCTGACGTCTTAGGCAACAACTTTTCGCTTTATTTTAATAGTATAGATTACTAGAGATAAGTTTTAGTATATGACCTGTAAGTGTAAATAATCTATACTCATATTGAAAAGAGGAAAGATTTTGTATTTTTGTATATATTGAAATAACTCAAAAACAGTAGTTTTTGAGTTATTTCAATATATACACCCCTGTAGGGCCAATTTTAAAAATTCTTACACCGTTAGAAAGAAACTTTTTCTGTGCATAACATAGGCTATATTTTTATATAGCAGGCGAATTCGCGAGCAACAGCTAGTATATTATAAAGTTAAGAATTAAGATTTTGAATGTTACTTCATGTATCTCGCGTTGATGTCTTTTTTATATCAAAACAGTGTAATGCGCGAGAGTAACTTCAAGTTAAAAATATTAAATAAGACAAGTGTTTTGAATTTATATCGAGTCACTGCACTATAGAGAAACTTAAAATATAGTTTTGTAATCCATACTAATATAATAAAGAGGAAAGATTTGTGTTTTTGCATGTATCGAAATAACTCAAAAATTACTGGACAGGTTTCAAAAATGTTTGCTCCATTACAAAACTCTGTTATCACTGAG